CTCTCTCTCTCTCTCTCTCTCTCTATATATATATATATATATATATATATATATATATATATACAGATAGTTATATAAAGCCATAGTTGAATAGTGTATTTCAACTAAATATGATCCCCAATCTGAAATGAGTTTTAAAATATCTTAAAAACACCATACATATAATAAACGTTTTTTTTTATCAACGTATCTTAAGGTGACAAATTTCAGTTGGGTGTACATTTTCTGATTAACATTTTACAAATTAAAACAGGAGAACGTTATTAGGCAAAAAATTAAATTTTTCATCACACTGGAAGAGGAATAAAATTATTACAAATGTAATATTAGAGACTAAATGAGGAGACAGCATGCCAGCCTATCTACCAAGTAGACCCAGGTTCTAATCATAACCACTTCCACTACATAAATAATTCTTTCTCAGGACTTCTCTGAAGATGGCAGCAGATTAGCAGCTAATATTTACATAAAAAAAATGTCCCCCAGTGGGTCAGCAGTAGGTTTAGAGACTTAAAATGCCAAAATCTTGGGTTTGATTACCAATGATGGAGCATTGAACTAAGAAGACAAGAAGTTGTTAATAATGAAAAAATTGGTAAATAATTATAATTTGGGGATAATTGGATATGATACTAAATTATAAGAATGTGTGAATAACTGATATGCAAACTGACTTGTTTACAACACACACACACACTTAGAACAATTTTGAAAGAAAGCCACGAGAGAGATGAACTTTATTTCAGATGTTAGAATTGAGCCCTTTATTCTAGCTTACCAAGATATTACTCTTCCTCAAGTGTTATGCAATTATGACTACCAGTAGACACTCCCTTTCCGTAAAATTGTTGTTGTGATCTTTTAATGAATGCATTTGTAATGCCAACTTTTCAGTATTTTGTTTTTTTTAAATTGAATCACTTAGTTTGACTGCGCTGTGATTTACGTATGCTACATTGTGCTTTGCTGATTAACTGCACATTAATGAACACAAGTGAAATCTGCTACTTTTATAGTACATTGTAAATACAACTGTTAGTGTTATCTCTTCGTGCTCAGAATTCTATGGCGGCATGTTTACTGCATGTACCTGATATTTCACGAGAATGAGGAAAACGGTGCTAGTGATAAGGGTAAAAAGAGTGCACTGCAGTAGGGCATCCAGTCACAAGAGGCCCAGAAAAACTCACTATTTGCATTTTTGATCATGTTTGTACCTAATGGTTTTCAATATATTATTGTGTTTATATTTCCTATAGAAATGAACTAAAATTTAATGAGCCTCATTATAATTCTCTGCAAAAGGGCCACAGACAACGTAGCGTCGCCCATGGGTCAAAGATCGTATATTTTAGCCTTTCTCTTTCATTTTTAGTAGGTCACCAGCAATGGGAAGGGACTTGATTACAAAAGAGTTACTAATGTTATTCCATCTTTTAAAAGGGGTTATAAGAATGTCCCTGGAAAGTAGAGAACAACAGCTCTTATTTCTTTAGAAGAAAAATCCTGAAACTAATAAAAGAGCTTTGGAAAATCATTCAGTGAAATACGATATTGTTACATTTCTTTTCGTTCGTTAATTTCCCGTATAATTTCTTTCCGGGGAAACTTTAACGATACAAGTCCTTTCTTAAATAAAACTAGTTAATTCTTTCTCAATACACTTAATTCCCACAGTCATTCTAACTTAAACACATGCTATAATTCACAACGATTCTTTATCATTTTATTTTTCTATTTCTATAATTTTTTCATTAATCCAGTTTTCCTTTTCTTCATTACACGTTGATGGAAATATTTTGTCAAGTTTCTTATATTCTTCTATACTATGCTTTTTCATCTTCATTTTATCTTCCATGAGTTTGAACTCCTCTGTCATCCATTTCTGTTTCTTTTGCTTAATTTTAATTGATTAACCTCCTTGGCTGTTTCAACTAGTGCTTATTTAAATATTTTCCATTTTGACATATTTTCTTCATCACCAAGTTCTTGAAAACGGTTTTAACTGCAATTTATACATTTCTTTAATTAGATCTTTTCCATTAGAATTGTAAAATCGAGCTTTTTTGTTGCTTTTAGCTTCGTACGTTTCCTCAGGCTTGTCTCGATGATGCATACTGGGACATGATCACTCCCGCAGTGAACTCCTGGGTAAGTTTTTGTTGTTGGACCACATTCCTGAATCTTCTATTGATACTGATGCAATCAATTTGGTTTCTAACATTATCTCCAGGAATTTTCCATGTGTACCTTCTTCTCGGGCAGTACTCAAATCATGTGTTCAGAATGACTTGGTCATTTGGAACACACCAATCAATACATTTCTCTCCTCTTTCATTTTTACCTCCAAGTCCATGTGGTCCAATAGCATTATCCACTTACTCACAACCAACATTCTCATTTCGATCTCACATCACTATGACCATTTCTTGAGGTTTGCATTGCTTTTTCGCTTTATCAAGGTCTTCATAGAAACGATCAATGTCTTTTTCTTCATTTTCAACTGTCAGTGAATAGAACTGTATTATTGTAATGTTGAAAACTTTATCTGTTATATTCAGAAGCAACACTATCAGATATTGCACAAAATCCATACAAACATTTTGAGGCTTCTTCATCCAAAATCGACCCAACTCCTCTTTCGTGCATCTGACTTCCTGATGTGATGGATTCACTGTCCTATGTCTATTTTAATATCAATGTTTGTGTTAGATTTGTGTGCGGAAATGTACATAGCTTATACTGGTGGGTCTGTGTTGCGAAGTTCTCGCCTGCTCTCTGGAATTGTAGAGGGTTCTCAAGTGTAAGAATCAACAATATATGTGTGTACATAAACACTGGTGTATCGTTTATATTGTTGCGTAAGCTGAAATTTCGAAAACTCTCCTCACGCCTATAAATATAATCAACGCGCCGTGCCAATTGCAGTATCTATTATTGGTTTGCTATAGTTGTGTGTTATAAACCTTGGAAGCTATAACTATGATTGTTATAACGCTTATTAAGCGGCAATTTCAGATATTTGACCAGGAACATTTATAGATTTCAAATGTTATAAATCATTTAACTTCAGCGGCTTCACATCGGACATTAGCATTTTTACGAAAACATTATACAACTTCAGCGGTGGATAACATGGCGTGTGTGGCTGGAAAAGAAGAGAGCTAGCTAGCTCCCTGTTAAGTGAATTGTATCTACATCTACTCAAAATTAATTTGCTCATTGTGAGCCCTCGATAAGATATCAAGGAAGTTCCAGACCAGATAGAGGACTCAATATTGTTTGTAAGTTTGTAAAACCTTTGTACATAGATCATTATTTGTAATAACCGTTATTGTAAATTGTGTTGTTGTTTGAATATTAGCATAGAAAGTAGCATGTTGACAGTCAGAAGTCACCTGTCATACACAGTTTTCCTCACTAAGCGAGGTGTCCTCCTTATTTCTATCAGGGACCCCTTCACGCCATTGTGGTTTTTTCCTTGATTTGTGAAATACCGTAGATTATGTTTGGCAAAATACTGCAGTAGATTGTAATTTCTTGCTAAAGATTACAGTGCTCAACTAACTTGAGCAAGTTTCTTCTATTCTTGTCCCAGTTGAACCAGACGACGAGATGATCCACCATCCTGCGCACTCAACGGCTTGAACTGTAACCCTGTAACGCCTAAGGGCGACCCAGAGGCAAGAGCAGCTAGGGAGTATTGTCTCAATGCTACTCTGACAGTTGACTGTCCTACTGCTGAATGCAGTTTAACGTCATACCCAGAATATTTGTGCGGAAATCAGTTCACTTGCGGATACCTCATTACTAGTAGTGTGTCTTAGGGTTCAGTAATTAAGCTTTTGATTTTTTATTTACATTAACGATATTGTTGCGTCATCGAGATCACGTGACTGGTGTGGCACCACCTATTTTCTAGAACTATCCTGTACCTTGGCGAATGCTCTAGTATTTACTAGATATAGGGTAGTCTGGTATATAAAAGAGGGTGACAACGTGACGGGAATAGAATAAATGTGTGTGTAGGTAGTGA